CACACACACACACACACACACACACACACACACACACACACACACACACACACACACAGATTCCAGCAGTGCTTCGCAAACCTTATCCTTTATAACAATGATGATGATGATGATGATGATGATGAAGATGATGTTTACGTAGATGAAGATGATGATAATGATGACGATGATGATGATGATGATGTTTACGTTGATGATGATGATGATGATGATGATGATGAAGATGATGACGATGATGATGATGATGATGATGACACCAGCAGTTAGTCTCACCACTCTTTGACTCTGTGTTTGTGTAGTTCCAACATCCTGTTGGATCAGCACTGGGGGGCGAAGCTTTCGGACTTTGGACTGGCTCGGTACGGACCTCTCAGCCCACCTGGGTGTTCCAGCACTCAGACAGCTTCTGTTGCTAAAACCACAACGGTGAGAGGAACTCTGGCTTACCTGCCAGATGAGTACGTGAGGAGAGGAGAGCTCTGCACCGCTGTGGACGTCTACAGCTTTGGAGTGGTAAGACCCTGCAGGGGCTGATGGGAAATGTAGTCTGTATGTGGGGGGGGGGGGGGGGGGGGGGTTCCTCCTGTGTCTCTCCAGTTAGAAGCCATGACCTCAGAGACCACGTCATCACTTCCTCCTGTTCCTGACGGTGGAACAAACTGTCTTTAATTTCCACATGAAGGATTGTTTCAGACAATAAACACATGATTAGAAAGAGTTGAACTTATTTTAAGATTTTCAAGCTTTTATTTTGACATTTCTCTGAAATCTGATTCTCTGATTGGTTCTGGAGTTTTCTAAACACTCTGACTGCACTGAAGCCCCCCAGAGCTACGGGCCAGTTCATGACCCATGATCCCTTATGTGTTCCAGGTTCTACTGGAGGTCCTGACGGGACGACAAGCTTTGGACCAGGACCACAAGTCCAGGGACAGATACCTGGTCAGAACCTGCTAACATTGGTTCCTGAGCTTTTCTATATAATGGTGGGTCCAGGTCCAGACCAGGTCCAGACCAGGTTCAGACCAGGTCTACAGACAGGACCTGTTCCAGACCAGGTGTACTGACAGGACCTGTTCCAGACCAGGTGTACTGACAGGACCTGTTCCNCTGACCTGTTCCAGACCAGGTCTACTGACAGGACCTGTTCCAGACCAGGTCTACTGACCTGACCTGTTCCAGACCAGGTCTACTGACCTGACCTGTTCCAGACCAGGTCAACTGACAGGACCTGTTCCAGACCAGGTCTACTGACAGGACCTGTTCCAGACCAGGTCTACTGACAGGACCTGTTCCAGACCAGGTCTACAGACAGGACCTGTTCCAGACCAGGTCTACAGACAGGACCTGTTCCAGACCAGGTCTACAGACAGGACCTGTTCCAGACCAGGTCTACAGNAGGACCCGGCCCACCTCAGGTAGTCTGGGTCCACTGGAGGACCCGGCCCACCTCGACTGGGTAGTCTGGGTCCTCTGGAGGACCCGGCCCACCTCAGGTAGTCTGGATCCTCCTGAGGACCCGGCCCACCTCAGGTAGTCTGGGTCCTCTGGAGGACCCGGCCCACCTCAGGTAGTCTGGGTCCTCTGGAGGACCCGGCCCACCTCAGGTAGTCTGGATCCTCCTGAGGACCCGGCCCACCTCAGGTAGTCTGGGTCCTCTTGAGGACCCGGCCTGTTGTTTTGGACCCAGCCAGTGGTTAGCTGTTAAAAACATGGCTCAGTGCAGATGTGTACACATGTTTCAGCTGATATATTTACTGACAGACATCATGTTGTTGATTTTGACCTATACTGATTGATGTGCTGACCTGATACAACAGGTCATGTTGGTACAGGTACCACACTCATCTTCACCAGCTGACAGGACTCTGTTGACCTGTCCTTGCCCTGACCAACATGGCTGCTCTCTCTGACCATGAAAAGTCCCATCAGGCTTCATATATGAATGTAAACAATCTGCTCTGCTGTTCTTCAGCTAATTACTCAGGAGGAGGATTGTTACCTGGACCTGCCCCGCCCCCTGTCACTCTGTACTCTGAGGAACACCTGGGAGCACAGGTAACACCTGAGTCCTGTTCAGTCAGGTCCCAGAGGACCACTTACACAAACCCACACCGTCAGAATCCAGTAAAACTGATTGATGGTCATCTTCAGKACAAGCAGCAGGACTTTACAGAGAAACACGCCGTGCCTCCGACACTGCTCCCCACCTGCCACACAGTCATCTGCTGGGCCTACGAGGAGGTGCATGCTGGAACACAAGGGTTCTCCTCCGCACTGCAGGTCGGGGAGGGGGGCTTCGGTGTCGTGTACCGAGCAGCCCTGAGGAACATGGACTGTGCCGTCAAGAAACTCCGACAGGTCAGCAAGAGTCAGAAAACCATGTGGACTGACAAACACTGCCCTCTACAGGCAGACACAGGAAGTACAGCAACACTTTACAGACACACAGGAAGTACAGCAACACTTTACAGACACACAGGAAGTACAGCAACACTTTACAAACACACAGGAAGTACAGCAACACTTTACAGTCACACAGGAAGTACAGTAACACTTTACAGACACACAGGAAGTACAGTGTATTTAGTGTTTTGTGTATGTGACGGCTCTGCAGGACTGTCTCATGGACTGGTCTCAGCTGAGGAGGAGCTTCCAGACTGAAGTGGAGAAACTGTCCAAGTGGGTTAGAGTGTTCAACAATTTATTAGTTACACAATAAAACACTTTAAACTTAATGTGTGTTGTCTCCATGTGTTGTCTCCATGTGTGTTGTCTCCATGTGTGTCTTCAGGTTCAGACATCCCAACATTGTGGATCTGTTGGGTTTCAGTGAAGGAGGCGGTCAGATGTGTCTGATCTACAGCTACATGGAGAACAGATCTCTGGAAGACCAGCTGCACACTGTAACACAACTACACACTGTAACACAACACCACGCTGTTACACAAGTACACACTGTAACACAACACCATGCTGTTACACAACTACACACTGTAACACAACTACACACTGTAACATAGCACCACGCTGTTACACAAGTACACACTGTAACACAACACCATGCTGTTACACAACTACACACTGTAACACAACTACACACTGTAACACAACTACACACTGTAACACAACTACACACTGTAACATAGCACCACGCTGTTACACAAGTACACACTGTAACACAACACCATGCTGTTACACAACTACACACTGTAACATAACACCACGCTGTTACACAAGTACACACTGTAACACAACACCATGCTGTTACACAACTACACACTGTAACATAACACCACGCTGTTACACAAGT